CAAACGCCCTACCCACTGTGCTATCTCTCCAGCCTCATAAGGCACTCAAGATGACATCCACGCAGCACTAACGCTAACACAGGGCCTTCCGACGCGGGGCTCTGTGTGACGCCTTGAAGTCTCCCATGTTCACAGTGCCTCAGGGTCCCTTTGCTCAAAAGCCAGCAGTCAATCATGTTTGGTCTATAGTCTACTTTCAGCATGCTTCTCCCATCCTGGGAGGATCTACCCAACACCCTTTATTTGGTGCTGCTTTCTCTATCTGAGCTCCCTTTTCCCCTAGAGTGTGTGGCTGACCTCCAAGCCATGGAGCAAAACTCCTGGTACTAATCTCGGCCACTCTTGGGTGTTTGATCATTGTATAATTGAAACCCAAGCACAAAAATTTGTAAATCTACAACTGTACCTCATGGTGTTTCACTAACAAAAATTTTTTAAAAAATGTAAATGATGGAGGGATGGGTACTGGATCATTGTATAACTGAAACCCAAGCATAAAAGTTTGTAAGTCTGCCACGGTACCTCATGGTGTTTCACTAATAAAAATTTTTTAAAAAAAGCCAGCAGTCAGACTGTCCTTGTCCTTGACTCAGCGGTTCTGTTCCTGTCTGGGGCTTTCTCTAGCGAGGCCTTGGGGGGCCTGTGGCAGGCGCCGGAGGGCAGCTGTGATGGGCGCACCCTGGCCGGGTCTCTCTGGCCTGGGATTATCGACAGTTAATCTTGGCTTGCCCTTGTGTGGCCCTGGGACCTGGCAGCCAAGAGATAACAAGGCCAGCTTTATTTCAGCTGAGTTGGGGGGTTTTGGGTTTTATTTTTTTTCCCCCTTGTACTTTGCATAGTCATGCTCTCATGTACAGGATTATTCTGGAAACTTGTACTTAGAAGAGGCAGGAAACTGCTCAGTTTATATTCTTCACAAACTGCCTTATTTGGTAGAGGTGATTAGGACTCCGTGAGAGAAATGTCTGCCCCTCGCAGAGAGGAGACTGTGCCCAGCACCGCTTTAGAGACATTGGACTCTAACCCTAGCTTGGGTGACTGGGTATAGTTGGGCCCCCTCAATAACATTCGGGAGGCCCCAAACCAACCAACCAACCCAAAGGAACAAAAACAGCCAAGGGACCGAGAGATAGCATTACGGGACTGTAGGCTGTGTATCTGGAACTTGATTTTAACTTTGTACCATGAACTCATGTATGCTTTGAGCTGTGTTGCTTGTGGGGGAAGTTTAAAAGATTCCCATCCTGGGTCGGAGCGGTAGTACAGCGGGTAGGGCGTTTGCCTTGTACGCAGCTGATCTGGGTTCGATCCCCAGCATCCCATATGGTCCCCCAGCACTGCCAGGAGTGATTCCTGAGTGCAGAGTCAGGAGTAAGCCCTGAGCATCGCTGGGTGTGACCCCAAAAAAGGTGGGGGGGAAAGGTTCTTGGGATGAACTCTCTGTTCTAAGAAAACACTGAGTTTTTAAAACTTCTGTAGCGAGGCTGATAAGATGCCATGATGTCAGTCCCCTTCCCCATCCCGCTCCCCCCCCCCCCCCCCATGCACTACATGATGAGTTTGCAGTAACGCCTGATAAAAACCGGCTCTGAAGACCCGAGTTTTTGCCCTAAGGTTTCTGGGGCTTCTCTCAGCTGGGGTCGATAAAGGCCTCCTTGTTCATCAGCCATAGGTTGTTTGCTGTGTTTGATTAACTGAGTCCTGCTGCAACAATAGTACGACTGAGGGACCAGAGCCATAATGCAGCGCGGAGGGCATCTGTCTTGCACACAGCCAACCCCAGCATCCCTATGGTCCCCCGGAGCACCACTGGGGTAATTCCTGAGTGCAGAGCCAGAAGTAACCCCTCAGCATCCCTGGGTGTGTCCCTTCCAAAAAAGAACAAGTAGTACAGTTGGGATGGTACTTGCCTTGCACACAGCTGACCCAAGTTCTAGCATCACCTCATCTGGTCTCTTGAGCACAGAACCAGGAGTGATTCCTGAGCACAGTCAGGTGTGGCCCAAAAATGAAAAAGAAAAAGGAAAAAAAAAATGATGTTCAATAGTTTTTCCTTCAGTTTCTGTGTTTGAAAAATACTTAAAAATTATGGTGGGACGAGTTGTGTAGGGGTGAATGGCAAAACGTACCTTCCTTGCAAGCATGAGGCCGTGAGTTCAATTCCTGGAATCTCGCACATGCGTAGAACAGCCTTGGCAGATCAGCCGTCTGGGAAGCCCTGCGCTCGCAGTCTGGTCTCTAGAGGGCTGCAGCCAGTGTGAGCACTTTAACCAGAGCACCACAGCCTTAGGTATTCCACTCCAAGTATGGCCCATCAACGAAACACACACACACACACACACACAGACACACACACTCACACACACATGCCCCTTTCCCTTGTTTCAGCCCCTGGGCCATTGTGAGTAACCAGGTTTTGCTGATTGTACGGAGTTTCGCAGTCAGGGTAGGCCTGTGCTGACTCACGGGCCTGTTACTCAGCCAGGAACCGGCCTTCTCGGGCTGGGGGAGGGGCATCCCTTGCTGGTGAGGGAAACTGTCTCTGGCCCGTGTTCTCCACCTCAACCCAGTTCTGTTTTTTGTTTGTTTTTTTTTTCTTTTTGGGTCACACCCGGCAATGCACAGGGGTTCCTCCTGGCTCTGCACTCAGGAGTTACTCCTGGCGGTGCTCAGGGACCATATGGGATGCTGGGAATCAAACCCGGGTCAGCCGCGTGCAAGGCAAACACCCTACCCGCTGTGCTATCTCTCCAGCCCTCCCAACCCAGTTCTGAACCGAGAAAGCCAAAGGACGCAGAGTCGTGTTCAAAACACACTGCCCATACACTGCTTGTCCCTTGTCTTTCCGCCCTGTCTCGCCGCCGGTGGCAGCAGGAACACCACTCACTGTGACTGTTTCCGGGTGATCCCCAGCAGTGCTCAGAAACCCTGGGGCCAACCCAGCAAGACCTGACTATGTCCCATCACTGTGATGTGGTGATACTCAGGCCCAGCAGTGCTCTGGGTGCCAGGGATGGAGCTTGGGGCCTCCACAGGCAAGGACTCTTGCCTCCGGGCTCGCTCCCTGGCCCCCAACTTGCTTTTCTCTCGCTGCCTCATTCTGTGTGGCAATGTGAGCAGAGCGCCCCCTAGGCGCGAACCATCACAATCACAATCACAACCGTCCTGTTATTCGTCGATTGCCTCGAGCAGGCCCCAGTAACGTCTCCTTCGTCTCCTTCGTCCTAGCCCTGAGATTTTTTAAAAAAGTACCATATTCAAGGCTCTTTCAGAGTTAGGAGAATGAGACCCTTCATTGTTACTGGCATTTGGCATATTGGGTACGCCACAGGGAGTTTGCCAGACTCTGCCGTGTGGGCACGTTACATTCGGTAGCCTGCCAGTTTGTCCAAAGTAGGAATGAGAGAAAAAGATGTCTCAGCTTCCGGGAGCCGGGTTTTATAGTCTCTGAGTCTTGGCCGTTGATGGGATTACACGGCGCCAGGGGGCCAGTTGGTGGGTGTGACCCCCGCCTACTGGAATTTGGAGGATCTGGGTAGAGGATGCTCAGTCCCGATCCAAGTAGGCTTGGAGATCTCAGCCCCGGGACCCGCGTGCAGAGCGCCCCCTAAGCGCGAACCATGGAAGCAGCCAAAGATGCCTTTGAGGTTCCAAGCAGCCACTGTGTGAGACCAGCATGCTGAGGGGACTGTCATGACACAGAGGGGAGACTGTGGAGAGGGCGACAGAAGGCAGGCGGGGGAAGCCCAGGAGGGCTGCCTGGAGGAGGTAACTCCCAAGTGGTATCTTCAGATAAGATTAGACCCAGCAGCCCCCTAGGTTCAGAAAGCACTTCCCAGGTGAGGGTGAGGGCCAGAAACCAGCCCAAGACGGAAAGGTCCTGTAGCAGACAAAGGCCAGACCAAAGGGGCAGGGTGGGGAAACTCCCACTATGGGGCTGAGATCCTGTTGGGGTCTGAGTGCCTGGTGGGTATGAGGGCCGGGTGGGGCTCGGGGCCGGTGCATCGACTGTCAGGTGTGGGTTCAGCACCTCACTCAGGCTGGGCTCCAACGTTTGACAGCTAAGCCTTGGTGAACAGAGGCTCTTGGGGGCTCCTGCCCATACACTGCTTGTCCCTTTTCTGTCCTATCTTTTTTTTTTTTTTTTTGCTTTTTGTGTCACACCCGGCAATTGGCTCCTGTACTCAGGAATTACTCCTGGCAGTGCTCAAGGGACCATATGGGATGCTGGGAATCAAACCCGGGTTGACCACATGCAAGGCAAATGCCCTAACCACTGTACTATCGCTCCAGCCCCTGTCCCGTCTTCTCTTGGCCTTGGGCCGCAGGCACTGACCCCTCACAGCTGATTTTTGGGCACTCTCTGAGGCCACCCCATGGACCAGGATTCCAGTGACAACCCCCCCTCACTGGCCCCCATCTGCATTTTGAGCGAGGTTAAGGTTAGAGGTGCTGGCCCATATCAAGCATGGCGTCAAGGAAGGCAACAGGCCACAGGGACACTGTCCTGCGGGGCTCATGCCTCCACTGGACTTCAGGGGCCTCTCCCTGCCTCCAGACGGCCAAGTGGATCCGGGCAAGGCCAGCGAGGCCGGAGTCGCTCAATGCCCAGCTTGGGAGCATTTGTTCATTGTGGTTTATTGAACAGAAACCATCTGCGGGGGCCCTGCAGGGGTGGGGGGTGGGGGTGGGGGTGGGGACAGGGGCAGGAGGGGCCGGGGCCAAGTGGAGTGTCAGGAGGCGGCGGAGAAACAGCCACACAGGCACAGGAGCTGGGGGACCCCTCTGGGCGTGCAGGCGGGGCTGTCACCCCAACTCCGCAGAGACAGCGGTTTCAGGGGACAAGAATGAACAGGAGGAAAGCCCAGGGCGGTCCGGGCTGTGTCCATGCATGTCCCCTCACAGCTCTGCCCACGCCATGGGCAGCTCTTGCTTACAGCCGGCAGAGCTCTGAGGGGCCGGGAGAAGCCCTGGGGGGCTGCCTGGAGCCTGGGAAGGCCAGTAGCTCAGATGGTCTCTTTGAGGGGAGATGCGCCCAGCTGCTGGAGGGAGATCTCTTCACTCTTCTCCTCTGCCTCCTTCCTGCAAACGCCGTCCTTGGCTCTGTGGAAACGGACAAAGAAGAGTTAACATGAGGAGGGGGTAGGGGTAGGGTCCAATGGTTGACTGGGCTGCAGTGCCCCCCCACCCCCCCCAGCCTCCCCGCCTACGACCCCTCCCCCGCCCGAGGCGTGTCCACTTGAAGGCGATCTCTCTGGCTCCCATGGGCAGCTCAGCCAGCAACGTCTGCTCTTTCTTCTGCTCCATCTTTCCTAGTCTTGCCAACAGCAGAGCTTGGACACAAGGTGCCAGATCATCATCCTCCAAGGAAGCCTGACTCCAGGCTGGGAACAGCCTCCAGGCTCAAACATGTCTTCTGCCCGCACCCAGGGCTCTGCAGAGGCTTCCTCCGTCCCCAGCGCACCATCAGCCAGCCCCCGGGCACAGGGAGACAGGGGGCGAGGGCCGCAGTCGAGGATGGCCAGGGCACCTGTCTGGAGTGGCCTCTCAGACCGTTCGAGGGCTACCCAGAGGACTGTCCATCCTTTCTTTCTTTTTTGGGGGGGGGTGTCACACCCAGCGATGCATAGGAGTTATTCCTGTTTCATGCACTCAGGAATCACTCCTGGCGGTGCTCGGGGGACCATATGGGATGCTGGGAATCGAACCCGAGTCTGCCACGTGCAAGGCAAACGCCCTACCCACTGTGCTATTGCTCTAGCCCCTGTCCATCCTTTCTTTCTTTTTTTTTTCTTTTTGGGTCACACCCAGTGATGCTCAGGGGTTACTCCTGGCTCTGTACTCAGAAATTACTCCTGGCAGTGCTCGGGGGCCCATATGGGATGCTGGGAATCGAACCCAGGTCAGCTGTGTGCAAGGCAAGCGCCCTATCTGCTGTGCTATCATTCCAGCCCCCGTCACTCCTTTCACTCCTTTCTTGGGAAAAGACTGAATTCTCATCATTTCCCCATTCTACGTTTCCCCACTCGGTTATCAAAGGAAACTTCCCAGCATGGACCCTGGAAAGAACATGACGAAGGACCAGAAGCTGAGGGGCACAGTCCCTGCCCTGTAAGCGTGAGGTTGTGGGTTGGACCTTGGGTGCTGCCCGCATGTACCCCGGTGTGATTCTGGTGGTTCTGGGCCTCCCAGAATCACAGCAGAGTGTGTGACCCCGGGGGCATGACCAGGTGGCCAGCGTCAGTGTGAACAAGTGCTGCAGCGAGTTGGATGGCCAGGGTGGTCCCAAGAAGCACAAGCAAAGGGACGAGAGGCCTGCGGGGCGCCGGGACCCCATGCAGGAGTCCCCAAGTGTGACACTGGCTCGTGGCAACAGCACTGGCCAAGGGAGGCAGGGAGGACAGGGAACACACAAAGGCCTCTGTCACAATCACAGTTTTTTTTCTTTGTCTTCAGCATCTTGATTTCTGGACCTAATTTGGAGGATATTGTAAATAATCTATTTTTGTTTGGGGGCGATGCCCAGAGGTGCTCAGGGGCTGGTTATGTGCTCAGGCAGCCTGGTGGAGCTCACACCAGCTGGCTGTGGTGCCAGGAATCTCAATTGGTGGCATGTGAGACAATAGCTTAATCTCTGGATTATCCCTCCAGCCCTTGATATACTGTTTATCAGTCTCTATGCCAATCAAACTCTTCAATATAACTTTTTTTCCTGCTTTTGGGAAAAGCAGGCTCGGCACTCAGGAATAATTCCTGGCAGTACACAGGGGACCAAATGAGATGCCGGGGATTGAACCCGGATCAGTTACGTGCAAGCCAAGCACCTTACCTGTTGTTCTATCACCATCTTCAATATAACTTTTTTTTTCCTTTTTTGGGTCATACCTGGTGATGCTCAAGGGCTACGCCTGGTTTGCACTCAAGAATTACTCCTGAAGGGGGCTGGAGCGATAGCACAGCGGGTAGGGAGTCTGCCTTGCATGCATCTAACATGGCCTACCCGGGTTCGATTCCCAGCATCCCATATGGTCCCCTGAGCACCGTCAGGAGTAATCCCTGAGTGCAGAGCCAGGAGTAACCCCTGAGCATCGCCAGGTGTGACCCAAAAAAGCAATAAATAAATAAATAATTTTTAAAAAAAGAATTATTCCTGGCAGTGTTTGGGGGACCATATAGGATGCTGGGGATTTAACTCAGGTCAGCCACATGCAAGGCAAATGCCCTCCCCACTGTACTATCGTTCCAGTCCATCTCAAAGTAACTTTTAGCTGGCACACAGTACATCGTCATTTATTTAATGGTTGACCGTTGGGGACAATATTATTTTCCTCCTAGCACAGGAAGAATGGGATGAATATCTTTGTGAATGAACTTTGTGCATTTTTTAGCTGTTTGCTGAGGGTAGATTCCTGGAAATGGTATTGTTCATTAGCAGAACATTTAAAAAAAATTCCCAACTCACAATTATACCAAAGAATATTCCAGAAAGATTTAGGTGTCTCCTCCCCTTAGCCCACCCATCTCTGGCACTGACTATTAACTCTATTTCAAAATTATTTCTCAGGGGTAGTTAAAAATGACCTCTCCTGTTTTAAAGTTTTCAAGACTGCTATAAGCAGCTTACTTTTCCTCTTCACCACCGTTGCCATTTCCTCCTTCGTGAATGTTCTAGTCTTATGAAAAAGGTGTTCTTGAGTGGGATTGGTCCTCGGTTCCTTGTTTATGTTGCTCCAGTAAATGGGAACAAGCCCAAGTGGGTGAGAGGGGCCAACGCAGGCCCACACAGGCCAGAAGAAAAAGGTTTCGTGAGTAGGGGGGACCTGACTATTTTCACAGAAGGAAAGTATTTACCCAGGTCTGGAGAAACAGCACAGCAGGGAGGGCACATGCCTTGCAAGAGGCCAACCCGGGTTCCTGGGTTCAACGCCCTCACCCCATAAGGTCCCCCAAACCCTGCCAGGATTCATTCCTGAGCACTGCTGAAAATAAGAAATAAAAACCAGGAGAGTATTTACAAATGGGTTTCTGTGGGCCTGTGAAACAAATGGAGGGGTGGGGGCGGGGTGGCAACACCCACTAATCTCTGTCCCTCTGGACCCAGCGCCACGGCGGATGGATTAGCACTGACCTGACTTGGCCTGCTGCCATCTTGGCCACAGGGGACAGGAACCTCGGCCAAGGCTCCCTTTCTTCTCGCTTTCATCTTGTTTCAACACCCCAGACCAGCACACCCCGTTATTTGATGAGATTAGGAATGGAGAGAAAGGCCGCGGCATTCTGGACTTCCCGTTGTCCAAATACTTGAACTCCATGGGCCGTTCCTGGAGAGACGCATCTGTCTCTCCTTCCCAGCAATCCACCTCCCTCCTGGCCAGGCACGTTGCCTCTGCTCCAGGTTGGCGTGGACCAGGACTTCCAGGCCAGTGAGAAACCTCTGGGTGAGCCCAGAAGCTCCCTGAGTGCTGGGAGCATCACACCTTGAAGAGCCACTGAGCACGGGGGGCTGCGACCCTCAAAACAAAAGTGGGCCAGAGCCTCCACAAATCATTTGCAGGTCTAGTCAATATGTTTAAAAAATTTTGTTTGTTTTGTTCTGGGGCCACATCTGATGTTTCTCAGGGCTTACTTCCTGGTTCTGTGCTCACTCCTAGTGGGCTCGGGATATGCCGGGAACTGAATCCGGGTCAGCCACATGCAAGGCAAGTGCCTTACCCAAGGTACTATCGTTCTGGACCTTGGCACATCCAGCTGTGCTCAAAGCACACTGTTGGCTCTGCACTCAGGGGTCACTCCTGGCAGTGCTTGGTGACTCATATGGGGTGCCAGGGATTGAAGCCAGGGATGGTTACATGGAAGACAAATGCTTTATTCACTTGGGCATGCATCCAGAATTTTATAAGAACCAATGTTAGGGCTGGAGCAATAGCACAGAGGGTATGGTGTTCGAACCAGGTTCGATTCCCAGCATCCCATATGGTCCCCTGAGCACTACCAGGAGTAATTCCTGACTGCAGAGCCAGGAGTAACGCCTGTGCATCGCCGGCTGTGACCCAAAAAGAAAACACAAAAAATTAACACTGTCCTTCCGTTATTCATTGATTTGCTCAAGCGGGCCCAGTAACGTTTCCATTTTGAGACTTGTTGTTACTGTGTTTGGCATATTGAATACGTCACGGGTAGCTTGCCAGGCTCTCCGAGAGGGGACTCGAACCCAGCTCGGCTGGGCTGGCTGCATGCAAGGCAAAAGCCTTACCACTGTGCTATCGCTCCGGCCCTTTCTTTGTACCCAAAAAGAAATTTTTTTGTACCCAAAAAAGAAAAATAATAATAATAATAATAATAAAATAAAAGAACAAATGTTGAGGGCCAGAATGATAGTAGAGCACGTAGGGCCTTGCATGTGGCCAACCCAGGTTTGATCTCTGACACCTCATCTCTGAGTCCACCAGGAGTGATTCCTGAGCACAGAGCCAGGAGTATGTCCTAAGCACCACCCAGGGGTGTCTCCCCCCCGCAAAAAAAAATTAAGCAAAGTGAAATCCATGGAAGAACAAAGAGTTTCTAAACCCACAGATACAAATAAGTCATAAACGGAAAGTCTGGTCAGGAACGAAAGAGTTACACAGTTCCAGAGCGTTCCTCAGGCATCAGCCTCAGCAAGTGCCACTTTGACCAAGGCATGACCAGCCACCAGGATACTTTCACTACAGTGACATGAGACTGTCGCTCACCAGCCCTGCTGTTGGAGGAGACTGGTGGCCTGTTTCGGGGGGGGCTCCCCGCACCCCGGGGCCTCACCTTCTCTCCATCGCTTCGATGGTCTCCAGCAGGGGCTTGTTGCGGGTCTCATCCAGGAAGCAGACGGCCAGCCCGGCCAGGATGGAGCTGGCCCCAAAGCCCACTGACGGCAGCACGGAGCTGAACTCCCCCAGGGTGGTGACCAGAGGCGCCGCCAGCCCCCCGAGGCGGGCATTCACTGAGACGAAGCCCATTCCCATCTGCCTGTCGGGGGTGGGAGGGACAGGTCAGTGGTCAGTGGCTGTGACTGGGATGGCCCCAGAGGGCAGGGAGTGCTGGGTGCAGGGCAGAAAGAAAAAGGGGCCACCAGCTGCCAACACGGGCACCCCACCCCAGCACCCACCTGATCTCTGTGGGGTACAGCTCCCCCGTGAACAGGTACACGCAGATGAAGGAGCTGGCCAGGCAGCCCTTCCCCAGAGCCGCCTGGGCTGTGCGCAGGGTCTGCATATCTGTGGGGGAGCAGAGCTATTGGGGGGCTCAGAGCCCAGAAGGAGGTTGGGGTGCAGAAGCTGGAAACAGCAGCAGGGTTTTCCCATGCTCTGATTCTCGCAGGGATCAGAGCTCCTACTCTGATATTCTCCCACTATTGCCTGTCACACCTCTCCTAGAAGAAGACCCGGCTCTGACCCCACTGGCTGACCCGCTCACGGCCACCCCACTTCCTGGTCTCAAGCATCAAATGAGGGAGACTGAGTCTCACTGCGGGGCTGCCAGTGGATGGACACCAGGTCGGAGCATGCGGTGCCCTGTACCCCCCCTTCCTTCAGGCTAGTGGCCACTACATTTAAGATGCTCAATGCTCAGGGCCGGAGTGATAGTACAGCTGGGAGGATGTTGGTCTTGCACGAGGCCAACCTGGGTTTGATTCCCGGCATCCCATACGGTCCCTTGAAGCACCACCAGAAATAATTCCTGAGTGCAGAGCCAGGAGTGAGCCCTGAGCATCGCTGGGTGTGACCCAAAAAGCAATTTTTAGAAGCCCAGTGAGAGCTAAACAAATTAAGATGCTTGATGCCCGCCAAGCTAGCAATCAGCAACAACGAAGTCCAGCTGATGTCCCACACGCGGGCAATGGTCACAGGATGACAGTGCCATTTCTGGGTGTGAGGGCAGCCTTGGTGGTACCCTGAACCAGGAAGGGAGATGCAGGAACCTCACATCTGGGCCCTACACCCCACTAGAAACCAGCTCCCTGGGAAGGGCCACCTGGGGCATTTGACATCTGTATTTTATTATTTTTAGAGGGTAGCCTCGAGGGACCTGAGGGCCACTCCTGGCTAGTTCTCAGCCCCACAGGTCACCGTTGGTGTCTCAAAGTGCTGGGGTCACACCTATTTGGGCTGGGGGACCCTCAGGGAGCAAACTCAGGGAATCACTCAGAGCACAGCAGGCCCATGGAGTTACCTGTGGGGCTTGAGGTCACCTTTTTTTTTTTTTTTTTGCTTTTTGGGTCACACCCAGTGATGCACAGCGGTTACTCCTGGCTCTGCACTCAGGAATTACTCCTGGCAATGCTTGGGGGACCATATGGGATGCTGGGAATCGAACCCAGGTTGGCCATGTTCAAGGCAAACGCCTACCCACTATGCTATCACTCTAGCCCCTTGGGGTCACATTTAAGGGTGCTCAGGGGCTACTCCCTGCTCTGTGCTCAGGATTACTCTTAGGAGTGCTCAGGGAGCACATGTATGCCAGCCCTTTGATCTACCCACGGGTATTTACTTTTTAACTTTGAATCATACCTGTTGATGCTCAGGGCTGCCTCCTGGCTCTGTGCTTAGGGATCACTCCTAGTGGGGCTTGGGGGACCCTTTGTGGTGCAGGGAATCAAACTCAGATTGGCCATGTGCGAAACAAATGCCTTGTCTTCTAGACTATGCCGCCATGGACATTTTTTCAAATGTCCCAGGAGAATCTAATATGCACCCAGGGCTGAAAACCATTCATCTAGATAAAACGCTATAATATGGGACAGGACTGAAGCTATAGCACAGCGGGTAGGGCATTTGCCTTGCACGTTGCCGACCTGGGTTTGATTCTCAGCATCCTATATGGTCCCCCCAAGCACCACCAGGAATAATTCCTGAGTGCAGAGCCAAGGAGTAATTCCTGAGCATCACCGGGTGTGACCCAAAAAAGCAAAAAACCTGAAAAAAACCCAAAAAACATAATAGAGCATGAGCCAGAGTGGCTGTGCTGACGTCTGCTTGCTCGAACCACCAGCCGGTTTCGTCTGCTTCAGGGTCATGCCTGCTGGTGCTCAGGAGTCACTCCCAGCAGGTGAGGGACCATGTAGTGCTTGGCCATCAAACCCCGTTTTTTCACGTGCAAAGCACCTCAGTGGACAGTTTTTCCGTACGAAGCTTATGCTGGAAGCTCATCGTGCTGCCTCAGAGCACCAGGGAGATTTCCAAGGTCTCGGGGGGGGGGGGGTGCATGACATGAGAAGCACAAGGATTGTGGGGCTGGGACCCCCAGGCTGTGATGGAGCCCCTGCACCCCTCCCTCCACCACTGCCCTTCCTTTGCATGTGCAGTGACTTCTGGGTCTTGCCTAGGCTGACATGCCTGTGGATCAAGTCAGGGCTCGTGCCTGCCTGTGGAGATCATGGTGCTGGTAGGTTCTTCCTCTGACTCATCCTCGCATCCCCCAGCCCACCAGGCCCCTCCCCAGAGGAAGGGGGTGCTCCGATGCTGACTCACCCTCCGGAACAAACATGTTGGAGACCACCATGAGGCCAGCCAAGATGAGGAAGGCAGCCACGGTGGCGCGGCGGCCCACGTAGATCATGGTGGTGGTGGCCACCAGCATGGCCGGGATGTCAATGACCCCGAAGAGGACCTGCACCAGGTACACGCTCAGCCCGAACTTCTGCAGGTCCATGGCCAGCCCGTAGTATGCCATGGAAGTGGAGAACCTGGGGGAGGGAGCGCAGGGTCGGCCCAGGATGGGGTCTGGACATGAGTCCAGTGGACACAGGCGGAGGAATGACACAGACCTGCCCTTTGGGAAGGAAACCCCCAGATTGGCACATCGCACCCTTCTGGTCTTCAGCAACTCTGACGTTGACCTCAGAGGCCAAACCCACCCTCCATGTCCTTTCCTCACCCCACGTCCAGCCCAAGCCCTGGGGTGAGTGTCGCCCCATCCCCCTGTCCCCCGCCCCGCCATGTCCCTATCTGAGCATTTCCTGGAAACGCTGTGGGGAACCTTGCCACGTGTCCCAAGGCCACCAAGAAAGGTCCACCCACCAGTCACTGCTGCTGAGTGGACCATGCTGGCGGCGGCAGGGGCCTGGAATTTGCACGCCGGGTGCCCCCCTGAAAGGCCACAGCTGCCCAGGGCAGCTTCTCAAAGAGACGTTTGTGTGGCAGTGAGCACAGCGGCATTTTTCACTAGAGCCCAAACCGGCCGCCTCCAAGGCTGGACAGGAGCGGGGGAGGCGGGAGCAGGCTGGACACAGAGTGGACTCGCCCTGGCAGGAAGCGAGTGGGCCCAGTAATGCAGGGGTCCACTTTGGTCACAGGAGATGGAAAGCAGAAGGCAGTGCCAGGCATTGGGGAGGGGGCCCAGGAGGCAGAATTAAACTCTGACAGAATTCCTTTTGGGAAGATGGAAAGTTCTGGAAACGATTGCACAACTATTTGGATGTCCTCAGCTCTGCTGGAGTGAGCTATTGTCCATCGGGGAGATGGCTAATCTTTCCCTTAATTTATGCTTCAAAAAAATTATCCCAGGGCTGGGGAGGTTGTTCAGCAGGCAGGGTGCTTGCCTTGCATACAACTGACCTGGGTTCCATCCCTAACACCCTATATAATCCCTGAGCCTGTCAAGGTGATCCTTGAGCACAGAGCCAGGAGTAACCCCTAAGCACCTCTGGGTATGGTCCCCAAACCAAAAAATATAACTATATATATATATAACTATATATGTAACTATATATACATTTAATTGGGCTGGAGAAAAAGTACAGAGGGTAGTTTTTTGTTTGTTTGTTTTTGAGCCACACCCAGCAATGCTCAGGAATTACTACTGGTTCTGCACTCAGGAATTATTGCTGGCAGTATTTGGAGTTCCTGGGGAATGAACCTGGGTTGGGCTGCATGCAAGGCAAGTGCCCTACTGATGTACTATCGCTCTGACCTTAGAATGTTTTTCTTGCGTGCAGCCAATCTGGGCTTGATCCCCAGCACCCCACATGGCCCCTGAGCCTGCCAAAAATGACCCCTAAGCACAGAGCCAGGAGTAACCCCTGAACACCACTGGGTGTGATCCTCCCCTAAATTTGGACTTTAGTTGGGCTGGAGAAACAGAGTGGGTAGAGTGTTTTTCTTGCACGTGGAGGACTCAGATTCCATCCCCACCCCCCATATGATTACCAGGACGATCCCTGAGCACAGAGCCAGGAGTAAGTCCTACGTACGACCAGATATGGCCCCCAAACCAAGTGATACTTTAGCCAACACGGTTACCATAGTTTCCAGCATTGACGGTTTGCAAGCACAAAGTTACTACACTTCACCACCAGCACCATAACCCTGACCAGGGCCCTGAGGTCACCTTTGGTCTCATCTTCACTCCCCTGCCTGCCCCTCCTCCGCTTGGTAATTTCAGTTTTGCACAATATGGTAAACATTATGTTCTGTGTCATTTCCCACTTTCATAAAAAGCAAAGCAACGAAAGGTCCCTGGCGGCTGGGCTGGCCTCTGCAGACCACCAGCTGCCCAGGCCTGGGAAAGCTGGGCGGGGAGGTGAGAGCTGAATCTGGCAGGAGGCTCTGTGCATCTGCCTCCCAATCACCCACCGAGACACTCCTACTGCCCCTCCCGTCTGCCCCAGGTCAGTGAGAATGAGAAGAAACTTCTGGAAAAGGTGATCCCGTGCTCCCCAGCCCCAACAAGACCCCGAGATGCCCCTCCGGACAGCCCCTCCGCCTGCTTCTTAAGCTCCTTAATGGTCATGATCCCAGAGACACACAAAACAAATCTTGGAACCCAGAAGCTTTTGGAAGAAATCTCTCCAGACTTAATTATTAAAATTTCAGAATTCCAAGATCATATGCTATTCATAGTCAACAATAGAAAACGAATTATCTAATGTTGCCTTTTCGGCAGGTCTGAGCATTGGGGGAAAATTCCAAATAATAATGGTGGTGTCAAAATATTGAATGTAAAGTAGAAAGAGAGTAATGTGGAGATTATCTGCCGCACAGGTAGGGGTAGGGGTGGGATGGGGGCATACAGGGGTTTTGGTGGTGGAAAAAGTGCACCAGTGAAGGGATGGGTGTTTGATCACTGTATGATCGAGACTTAAACCTGAAAGCTTGGTAACTGTTCTCATGGTGATTCAAAAAATAAATTTATAAAATTTTTTTAAAAAGGTGATCCCATAATTCCTGTCGGCGCTAGATAGTTGAAGAGAGCACTGGGTGCTGGAGAGAGAGCCCAGGGGCTTGTCTTGCACACTGTGGAACCTGGCTTGATCCCCAATTCCATACCGGGTTGCCCTGAGCACAGTCAAGTGTGGCCCAAAAGCAAATACCAAAGATTCTCACAGTCGTGAGATGTCTGAAAAATCACAAAACAGGGCCGTTACCAGAGCATTCCACTGGGAGCAATAGAGGACAGGGGGTTTGGCTGTTAGTTTGTGTTAGTTTTTGTTTGGGGTCCACACCCAGCGGTGCTCAGGGCTAACTCCTGGCTCTGCACCCAGGGATCACTCCTGGTGAAGCTCAGGGGACCACTGGAGGTCTAGGGACCCAGCCCAGGTCCACCGCATTCAAGGCAAGCGCCCTCCCCACTGAACATCTCTTCTGCCACTGTTCGTTTGCTTTACAGTGAGTGAGCACTACCTCCGTCATCTAAAGAAAGGGCCAGTCAAGCTTTTAAAACTCCAAGCTTGGGGCTGGAGTGATAGCACAGCGGGTAGAGCATTTGCCTTGCACGCGGCCAACCCGGGTTTGATTCCCAGCACCCCATAGGGTCCCCCGAGCACCGCTAGGAGTAATTCCTGAGTGCAAAGCCAGGAGTAACCCCTGTGCATCGCTGGGTGTGACCCAAAAAGCAAAAAAATTAAAAAAAAAACTCCAAGCTCATGGAAAGTTTCATAATTGGATTTGTTTATAGTTAGTACAAGTGGCCCATTCCAGAATTCCCCGGCCACAGCCCTCAGGACACACATGGGGGGCAGAGTTCTCCCATCAGCTTCCTTGTCAGGGGAACCCCTGGGCTGGGCTGCACAGTGCTCAGAGCAACCACTAGACAGCTAGGTGGGGGAAGCCCCCCATACCCTCAGGGACCCCTGGTAAACAGAGGCAGTGCATGGAGAGGGGGAGAGAGACGGGACATGCACTGTGGGAACCCCCCCTTTCCCGAACACTCTCCTCTGCTGGCGGGCAGAAGGGCTCCGGTGATACTTTTAGGAGAAAGATCCCAGACAGGGAGGCCAGCCACTTCCCACACACACGCACACACACATGTACATGCACTCACACACAGGCATTATACACTCAAATGCACACAAGCACACATGGGCACACATAGGCACATGGGCACACATGTACACAAGCACACACAAATGCATGTATGCACATATGGGCACACACATGCATGCGCAAACATGTACACACATGTGCACATGCAAATGCGCACAGACACACGTGCACACATGTACACACTCACTGTACACATGCAAATGTGCAATGCACCCACAGGCATGCACACACATGCATAGGCGTGCACACACACATGTACACACATCAGAGAACAGACTCTGCCTAGGGCTTTCCTTGGCCACCTCTACCACATCCTCCTCCTCATCCTCACATGAGGACATTGGACAAGTGGGAAACTGAGGCCCAGGAGGTTCAGGCACAGGGCCGGTCCTATGTCCCCGAGATCAGCGGGGGACCCCAGGAGATTGGGATCTGCCCAGAACCCTTCTTTGCCAACATCATCTGTTATTTAAGACTCAGCAAATCCTGCCAGGCAAACGCCCTATGTTCTTACGGGTTGGTTACCTGCCAGCTGCCAGTCTGTGAGGGCCTTGGCTGGTTTAATCCAGGTCACACCCTCACGCCTTTACCTGTGGGGAAATCTCAGCACCCCTGAGTGAAGCCACAGCAGCCCAGCCAGGACACCTGCTTTAAGGACACTGGCCATACCCTAGGGGCCCGGTTTCCTTCCTGCCTGGCCCACTCTTCTTTTCTCAGGGTGGGATCTTCCTGGCACCCTCTGGAGACATCTGGAATACACCAGGATGCAACAAGGGATGTCTAGGCCATGGCACCCCACAGAGGCCCCCGGGATGCTCAGAGGGCCCCAGGGAAAAGAGAAAAGACAGAACTCGAGTCATAAGACTCACTGTTCAGTGCATCAGGAGGATGGAGGCTGCAGGGACAGGCCAGACTATAAGGAAGGATCTTGCTTTGTATGTTGTCAAGCCGGGTTCCATCTCTAGCACTGCATATGGTCCCCGAGCACCTCCAGGAGTAATTCCTGAGCTCAGAGCCAGGAATCCCCTGCCACCCCAAACACACACACACACACACACACACACACACACACACACACACACACCAGTAACTCAACAATGGAAAATTACTCAGCTCAGAAAACAGAGGAAAGTGTGCATCTGACTATAACTGGAGGGATGCTAAGGGGATGAGTCAGCGGGAGAAAGACAAACAGCCCAGCTCACTCACAGGTGGAGAGCATGGGGGCACAGCCACAGAGACCAACCTGCAGAACTGCAGAGGAGACTGTGGCAGGGCCGGGTGTGTGTGTGTGTGTGCAGGGTGGGTGTGGAGGGGCGTGGGGATGGTGTGGAGGGATACTGGCACTCACACGGCGGGGGGGGGGGGGGTGGTAGGCAGCAGCACTGGACCCTAAGGCACTCGGCTAAATACTCTGGTACAGCCTGATCCCTCCGATCTGGGGAGAAAGGACCACAGAGCCGGGGAGGGGGGGGGGATGCGGTGGCGGCATATGCGGCGGCGGCAGCCCCACCTACCAGACCACAGTGAGGCAGCAGGACACCTTGCGGATGGCGGGCGTTCGGAAGAGGGCCAGGAGCGAGGTGGAGGTGCGGACGCTGGCGAACTCGCTCTGGATGTAGGTGTTCACCACCTGGCAAGGAGGGTGTGATTTGAACCCCCTTCCTGCCCCAGACCCGGGGCCCGAGGAGTGGAGGGCCCAGCGTGAGGCCCCTAGAGGTCACTGACCCCCACCCAGCCCCAGAAGCTCTACACTGAGCTTCCAGGCTCCTGTCTCTGGGGCTTTGAGGTGCCACTGAGCCTCCAGCATGTGTGACCAGCTGAAATGTGATGCTGGGGGACACAGAGGCCCCCCACCCAGTCCTGGGGCTCTGCAGAGTATCTGCCACAGAGGTGGCCTCCAGGTGTCATGATTGTCAAGGATTCATTGGAGCTATTTTGCCTTTTGTTTTTTTTTTGCTTTTTGAGTCACACCTGGCAATGCACGGGGTTTACTCCTGGCTCATGCACTCAGGAATTACTCCTGGCGGTGCTCAGGGGACCATATGGGATGCTGGGAACTGAACCTGGGTCAGCTTCATGCAAGGCAAATGCCCTACCTGCTGTGCTATTGCTTCAGCCCCCCCCCCCCTTTTTTTAAAATTTCCTTACTTTAGTGTCCCCCAGCTGTCAGTGTAAAGAGATGTTTTTTTCCATTGCACAGACCCTGGTCAGATGAACAACGTACTTAAGAGAGAGTACAGTGGGTAGGGCATTTGCCTTGCATGCAGCCAACCCAGATACAATCACCGGTGTCCCATAAGATCCCCTGAGCAATAGCAGGAGTAAATCCTGAGTGCAGAGCCAGGAGTAGCCCCTGGGCTTCATCGAGTGTGACCCGCCACTGTCCCCAAAAATACAAACCACAAAGCACTTGAACCTCTAATTAACTGGTCAGGGAACCTCCCAAAGAGGGCTCAGGGACCCTTAGGTCACTCTCGATGACATCAGCCCACTGAGGGTGTGGTGGGGCCCAGGCCATGCAATGTTGGGGACCACCAGGGCCACCCCAACAGGGCTTGGGTTTCCAGAGTTGCACCCAGAGGCAGCCAGGGGTTGCTTCCGGCAGTGCTCAGGGGACTATGTAACACAGGGGATGGAGCCTGGGCCTCCCACATACAAATCACGACTCGTATTAAGTGCTCCCTCTGGCCCTTTTGGATGAAGATTTCATAGGGGTTGGGGGGCCAGAGCAACAGTCCAGAGGAGAGAGCATTTCCCTTGCATGCTCCTAACCTGGGATTGATCCCCAGCACCCCAGATGGCCCCCCAAATGTGCCAAGAGTAATTCCTGAGCACCACTGATGTAATCTCCCCCAATAAGAAAATAAAAGAAAGTTGTATAGGGGCCAATACCTGGTGGTACTGGGAATTGGGGGTGAAGACATAATCTTGGGATCAAACTCAAGGTCTCATGGGTGCAAGTCACATGATCTCGCTGAGTCTGGTGCCCTCCTAGCAGCTAAACTGTGTGCCCAGCTGGCACAGGATGCTGCACGGCTCGCCTGGTGAGTCCCCAAGAGCCAGTGCGGCCGCTACCTCCTGGGTCAGCCGCTCCCCTTCCTCCTTCTTCCCGTTCACCGCCGCCACCTTGCGCAGGTTCCGCACGGCCAGCTGGGACTTGCCCTGAAGGAGGAGCCAGCGGGAGGACTCCGGCAGCCACCTGGGTGGGGGAGAGGAGGAAGCATGACCTGGGGCCCAGGAGACCTCACTCCACTCCCCCACGGAGAGACGGGGTACGGGGTGGGGGCTGAGGTGCCACGAACACCCGCCCTCCCGTGTCCCACGGCACACCCGGACCAGGGAGAAGGCTCCGGCCGTACCAAGAATAGAGGAAACAGATGAGGTACGGGAGCGACACGGCGAGCTGCAGCCACCGCCAGGGCCGGATGACATAGGCCACTCCGGCCAGGACGAGCTGGCCCAGCGTGAAGGAGTAGCCCAGCAGGATGCCAGCCACGGTGCGGCCCCGGGTGGGCATCCACTCCACCACTGCAGGAAAGCACAGGTTAGCGTGGCCCCGCCCCGCCCACCACAGTGACCGGAAACCAGGAGAGGACTTGCCGCCCCCCCAAATGCGGAGCAAAGGCACCCCCCACTCACACCCAGGCCAGCGCCAGGCGGACCAAGAAGGAGGCACTCTCGAGGCTGGGAAAGGCCTCTCCTCTCTGTTCCCAGTCTCAGAGGGAGCCCAAGGAGGAGGGAGTGTCGCGGCTTTCTGGACATAAAAAAGCATCAGTATTTGAGGCCGGAGTGATAGTTCAGGAGGAAGGGCGTTTGTCTTTCATGTGGCAGATCTGGGTTCAATCCCCGGCATCCCATCGGGTCTCCTGATCAATGCCAGGAGTGATTTCTGAGTGGACCACCTTGGAGATCTTTACATCCCACTTCCCATATATTCCACAGCAGAATCTGTGCAAGCCCACACAATAACCCATAAGGCGTTTGTTTAATTTTCATCCAATCAGGGGCTGGAGAGATAGCACAGCGGGTAGGGCATTTGCCTTGCACGCGGCCGACCCGGGTTCGATTCCCAGCATCCCATATGGCCCCCTGAGCACCGCTATGGGTAACTCCTGAGTGCAGAGCCAGAAGTAAGCCCTGAGCACTGCTGGGTGTGACCCAAAAGCAAAAAAAAAAAAAAAAGGAGTAGAAGAAGTGTGAAGCGTCAGTATTTAAAAGACAGACACAAAGTACAAGCAGAATCACAAAAACATTATTTTTAAAAAAGCCAAAATTCAGAGCTGGAGCGATAGCACAGCGGGTAGGGGGCAGGGCATTTGCCTTGCACGTGGCTGACCCGAGTTTAATTCCCAGAATCCCATATGGTCCCCTGAGCACTGCCAGGAGTAACTCCTGAGTACAAAAGCCAGGAGTAACCGCTGAGCATCTCCAGATGTCACCCAAAAAGCAAAAAAAAAAAAAAAAAAAACCCAAAATGAAAGAATATATGTTAAATAAATAATTTCCTATTTTCCTTTAATTTATTTTTTTTTTCGTAGCTCAAGGAATATGGTGTAGAATAAAACTTTGACACAATCGAAGTGCTAGGATCTCTTGTTCTACCAGGAGTCTGAATGTCAAATATTTATTTATAGTGATTTGAATATTGTTGGTTGGAATAGTGCAAAAAGAAAAGGATTATTCACTCCTGGGCAGGAGAGGCGAAGGCACCTTCCTCGCACACTGAGGAACCCCCAGACCCCCAGCACCACATGGTCCCCCCAGCACCTCTCCATGTGGCCCCCAAATCCCCCTTCCTAAGGGAAAAATGAAAAGAAATATGGTCTGGCACGGGAGGCTTTCTCTGCCAGGCGACCCCCGTGTGCAGGAAGGAGGCGGCAGGAGGGTGAAGGAAATACACTGGCGGGCTATGAGCACCCGACTAGGAGTTCCTCGGGAAGGGGTGTCCAGCCCATGCTGCTCACCCCTGCTGTGCCCCTGCTTTGCCGCTGCCCCCACCTCGCCCTTGCCAGGAGCCCCCCAGAGCCGGCGGACTGGCCCCTGCGTCCCTAAGTCAGAGCTGGGACCCTGAGCGGTCCCTGGATGTTCAGCATCTGTTCGTTGCCCTGCACTGGCTCCAGCACAAACTCCCTCCTCTGGGGTGGCCGGCAGCACCCACTGGGGTCTCAGCCGGGCATGTCCCGCCCCCGGCCTCCTCTGACCCTTCCCAGGGACACCACCATCTGCTTGCCACTGCTGCGGGCCACCTGGAGATACAAGGGTGGGGTGTGTTGGGTGGGTGCGGAGAGGGCAGGGGTGTAGAGGCAGGGTAGGGAAGGGGTGGGGGATGCTGGGTGGGTGGGGTGCAGGGGAAGAGGGGTAAAGGGGTCCTAGGTGGGGTGGGGTGCAGGGGAGGTGGGATGTTTGGGGGTTGCAGGGTGGGGCAGGGGTGAGGGTGTATGGCGGGGAGGGATGTAGGGGTGGGGTGTGTAAGGGAAGGGTGTGGGGTGGGGGGACTGGCCATGTCTTCATGGAAGAGGGAGGGGGCGCCCCAAAAGATGAATGAGGGTGTGTGAGACGGGAGGGCTGAGGAGAAAGCAGGAAGCCGCCACTGTGGGTCCCCTGGCGCAGAGCTGGAGGGCCACAGGGGGCCCACCGAGGCGAGGGACCCCCCTGCAGAGTGAGGGGAGGGCGGCCTCCCGGAGTTCAGAGGCCCAGTGATTTCCCCTTTTTTTTTGGGGGGGGTCATACCTGGCTATGCACAGGGGTTACTCTGACTCTGCACTCAGGAGTTACTCCTGGCGGTGCTCAGGGGACCATATGGGATGCTGGGAATCGAACCCGGGTTGGCTGTGTGCAAGGCAAATACCCTACCCGCTGTGCTATCTCTCCAGCCCCGAGGCCCAGTGATTTCTTAGGTGTGTGTATTTGGGTGTGTGTATATAGGGGTATGAAGGGCTTTAGGGTGTCTGTATACTGGGGTGTTGGAGCTTCACCAGAGTCAGGAGGAAGTTCCAGGAACGCTGCCTTGCAAACAAGGCTGTGTCAGAGCTGCAAACAGCTAGGAACTCTGAGTGCACTGGGTTGGGGTCAGCATGTCCCAAAGCAGCCACTTTCTGTTATGGATAGATTAACTGTACTATGATTGGATGAAAATTATTATTATTATTATTTGCTTTTTGGGTCACACCCGGCGATGCACAGGGGTTCCTCCTGGCTCTGCACTCAGGAGTTACCCCTGGCGGTGCTCAGGGGACCATATGGGATGCTGGGAATCGAACCCGGGTCGGCTGTGTGCAAGGCAAATGCCCTACCCGCTGTGCTATCTCTCCAGCCCCTGATTGGATGAAAATTGAACAAACGCCTTATGGGTTATTGTGTGGGCTTGCATAGATTCTGCTGTGGAATATATGGGAAGTGGGATGTAAAGACCTACAAGGTGGTCTGATTTACTTCATCAAGAACTTTGTGCATCGTTAGACTACAAAATAATAAATATGTACTTTAAGGTGTTTTGATCTTAAGTATTTTGATCTTACGTACTCTGATGTATGCTAGATGTTTCGATTGTTAACCCAATGAAAAGAGGATGCAAAAGCCAGTCAGTGTTAAATGGCTCAAGTGAGCTTTAGCCCTCCGCTTCCAAACATGCGCCCCCAACCGATCTCCAGAGAACTAACGGGGGTGTGATGATATTGGGCTGTGTGGTGTATATAGGAATATGTGCTGTATATAGGGGTGTGTGCTGTGTATCGGGGTGTCTGGTGTGTATAAGGGGTGTGGCATTTATAGGGGTTTGTACAGGAGCATGTGGTGTGTATCAGGGTGTACATAAGGGTGTCTATAGGGGTGTGTGGTGTGCATCGGGTGTGTACAGGGGTGTGTGTATAGGGATGTACGGTGTATATCGGGTTGTGTGGCGAGTACCAGGGTGCATGCGCTAGCATGTATCTGTGGAGGGCTGCAGGAAAGTGGGGTTCTGTGCATTGGGGAGCACTGTGTGCAGGGCTGTGGTTACTGAGTGCAGTTGTAGGGTTATGTGTATATGCATTGGGGTGTGTGTGTGAGTGGGGAGGGGAGGCAGAGGGGTTTGTCTCCATGGGTACTTTGGGGCGTCTGAGCCCAGAGCTCGGGGATGTCTGGCGCCTCGCCTGGGCCTGGCACACAGCAGGTGCTGGTAGGAGGTTAAGAGTTTTGTCCTTGGGGCTGGAGCGATAGCACAGCGGGTAGGGCGTTTGCCTTCCATGTGGCTGACCCAGGTTCAATTCCCAGCATCCCATATGGTCCCCTGAGCACTGCCAGGAGTAATTCTTGAGTGCAGAGCCAGGAGTAACTCCTGTGCATCGCTGGATGTGACCCAAAAAGAAAAAAAAAAGAGCTTTGTTCTTATTTGGGTGGGCACAACCAGTGATGCTCAGGGGTTACTCCTTGCTCTGCATTCAGGAATTAACTTCTGGCAGGGTTTGGGGGACCATAATATGGGGCACCGGGGATCGAACTCAGATCTACTGCATGCAAGGCCAGCGCCCAACCTGCTGTACTATCTCTCCAGTCCCTTTGCTTTTGTTTTGGGGCCACACCAGGTGGTACTTAGGGGCTACTCCTGGCTCTGTGCTCAGGGTCGCTTCTGGTGGCGTTCAGGACCATGCGAAGCCCTCGCTACGTGGAACTGCATCCCCGCCCACACACAGACACACACAGCTGTGTTCCCGCCAAAAGCAAGGGCTGGGGCGATGACAGTGGGTGCGAGCTCCTAGGTTACCCCCAGCACGCCATGGACCCCGATGCCCCAGGAGGCTCCTGCTGGAGTCAACCCACCCTCTCGGCACCAGCCCGACCCGACTCCCTCCCTCACTCACCTCCTCTACCAGAGACGCTGAGTTGGGGTTGCTGGGTGGGAACTCCCACATGGCCCCCGGGGGGACTCACCGAGGGAGAGAGAGTTGAGGATGATGCCCGAGAAAGTCATGCCCATGAGGAAGCGGAAGGCACAGTAGGCCCCGAAGGAGCTGAAGTACGCCGTGGCGGCCCCCGAGACGGCCAGCTGCAGGTACGACCAGATCAGGGGGCCCTTGCGGCCCAGCCTGCGTGGGAGGCAGGGAGGGGCCCGGGGTCAGGGGTCTGCAGGCGGCAGCACCCCCACAGGAAGCAAAACCCTTGTAGGGGCAGTGACCACTGAGGCCACTCCTGCAAAACAGGGCCCCCAGAATTTAAACAAACAACACTGAGAGGAGCTACAGCCAAGAGGGGTGCAGAGGGTGGGGGACCAGGGGAAGAGAAGGGAAGGGGGTGCCCAAACGGGCCGAGCACAGGAGGGCTGGGTTTGATCCCTGCAGTGCATGGCCCCCCGCTAGCACTGCCAGAGTGACCCCCAAAAGTGGAGCCACGGGCAGCTCTTGAGCACAGTTGGGTGTGAGCCAAAGAGATGAAAGAAGGAGAGGAGGGAGGGAGGGAGGGAGGGAGGGAGGAAGGAAGGAAGGAAGGAAGGAAGGAAGGAAGATGGAAGGAGGAAAGGGAGGAAGGAGGGAGGGAAGGGAAGAAGGAAGGAACGAAGGAACGAAGGAAGGAAGGAAGAAGAGAGGGAGGGAGGGAAGGAGGGAGGGAAGGAGGAAGGAAGGAAGGAAGGAGGGAGGGAGGAAGGAAGATGGAAGGAGGAAAGGGAGGAAGGAGGGAGGGAAGGGAAGAAGGAAGGAAGGAAGGAAGGAAGGAAGGAAGGAAGGAAGGAAGGAGGGAGGGAGGAAGGAGGGAGGGAGGAAGGAAGATGGAAGGAGGAAAGGGAGGAAGGAGGGAGGGAAGGGAAGAAGGAAGGAAGGAAGGAAGGAAGGAAGGAGGAAGGGAGGGAGGGAGGGAAGGAAGAAAGGAGGGGAAGGAAAGAAGGAAGGAAGGAAAGAGGGAGGGAGGGAGGGAAGAAGGTGGCAGAGGAGAGGGAGGGGTGGGGAGAGGCCAGAGCCTGCCTGGGAGGCAGCTGGCCCTCACGGCTGGCCATGGTCTAGGGCACTTCTGAAGGGACAGACCCTTCCCTCAGAAGTGGAGAGAAAGCAGGTACAGCACCAGACAGGGGTGCCATAGGGGTGCCCTATGGACCTGCAGGGACCAAGCAGGGTTGAGGTGAAGCAGAAACGCCCCAGCACTTGGGATTTTCCAGAACTCTGGGCCACCTGAATGCATGATGTGTTGGAAAATGGAAAACGACATTGACAACCCCAGGAAGGAACATTCTGGAAGAAACCGGGGTCGGGGGGGGGGGGGGTCGCTGGGCTCACCTGTCCGCCAGACTGCCGAACACGGCGGCGCCCACCAGCACCCCCGCCATGTAGATGGACTGGGCCAGGTCCCTGAGACTACGCGCATCACACACCAGGTCCCACTGCGGACGGGGTACAGGGACACTCAGCCCGGGCCTGGGGGCGGCCCCCCACGCTGCCCGGGCCCCACTCACCTCCGTGACGATGGTGGATGGGAAGATGCTGTGGTCATACACCCAGCCGTCCACGCAGCCCTCAGTCGCCCCCTCGGGGATGGAGGCATTGGGGTGCAGGAGGGTCCTTTGGGGCTCGATGAAGCGCCGGCAGGGCTCAGGGGCCCCCAACCTGTCCAGGGGGACGGTGGCGCGGAGCCAGGCTACCGAGTCGTTGACGGCGGTGGCCGTGTGGTTGGGGGCGCCCCGACAGTGGTGGGGGGGCATGGCAGCCGTGAAGTTCTGCAGGAAGTTGTGACAGGCCAGCAGGCCACAGGGCAGCAGGAGCAGCGCCGTGTGCAGCACCTGGAAACGGCCCACGCCACCCAGGGCGTCCAGCAGGTCGGCGAAGGCCATGGTCCGGCCCGCCCCGAGTTCGCGGGCCCTTATGTGCTGGCCTGGAGGGGGCAGCCCAGGGTCAGGGCTGCAGACCACGGGGAGGCCGCCAGAGGGGTCTGGTTACACCTCCCAGGAGGTTACCTGGCCCAGGGCCCCCCCAGGCCCCGCCCCCTCATTTCTCTCCGTTCCAAGTGAGGGAACTGGGGTGCCTCCTTTCTCTGGGGCCATTGGGAGGTGCCCCGAGTCCCGGCCCCTGGGGGAGTTTTCAATACAGGGTAGGGGTGCAAAGGGGGCACCCCTTCCCCCAGAGCTCAGGGGTTGCATAAGAGAAAATGGGGGAAGCCTTAAAAACATTTATTTGCTTTTTGGGTCACACCCGGCGATGCTCAGGGGTTACTCCTGGCTTTGCACTCAGGAATTACTCCTGGTGGTGCTCGGGGGACCATATGGGATGCTGGGAATTGAACTCAGGTTGGTCGCGTGCAAGGCAAACGCCCTACCCGCTGTGCTATCGCTCCAGCCCAAAAAACATTTGTTTTTAAATTAAAAATTTGTGGGTTGGGGCTGGAGAGATAGCACAGCGGGTAGGGCGTTTGCCTTGCACACGGCCAACCCGGGTTCGATTTCCAGCATCCCATATGGTCCCCTGAGCACTGCCAGGAGTAATTCCCGAGTGCATGAACCAGGAGTAACTCCTGTGCATTGCTGGGTGTGACCTCCCCCAAAAAAAAGCAAAAAAAAATTTTTGTGGGTTTTTGGCCACACCTGCCAACACTCAGGAATCACTCCTGGTGGGGCTCCGGGGATCATATCTGTGCTGGGATCAAACTGGGGGTGACGGTGTTTTACTCCTACGCTCAGGAATTACTCCTGGCAGTGCTTGGGGAATAGTATGGGATGCCAGGGATTGAATCAAGTCTGCCGCATGCAAGGCAAATACCCTATCATCAGCGACAGCTGTACTATCACTCTGGCCACTTAAATGTTTTTTTAATGTTTATTTATTTAAACTTACTTTATTTATTTTTTGCCTTTTGGGTCACACCCAGCGATGCTCAGGGGTCACTCCTGGTTCTGCACTCAGGAATTACTCCTGGCGGTGCTTGGGGGACCATATGGGATGCCGGGGATTGAACCCAGGTCGGCCTTGTGCAAGGCAAACGCCCTACCCGCTGTGCTATCGCTCCGGCTCCTGGCCACTTAAAATTTTCGTGTGGCTGGAGTGATAGTACAGTGTTAGGACATTTGCCTTGCACATGGCCGACCCGAGTTCAATCCCCGGCATCCCATAGGGTCCCCCGAGCACTGCCAGGAGTAATTCCTGGGTGCAGAACCAGGAGTAACCCCTGAGTATCACTGGGTGTGACCCAAAAAGCCAAAAAATTTTTGGTTTTGGGCCACACCTGGTGATGCTCAGGGTTTCTTCCTGGCTCTGCCCAGAGATCACTCCTGGCAGGGCTCAGGAGACCCTATGGGGTGCCAGGGATGAAACCGATGGAACCCAGGTTGTCCACAGGAAAGGCAAGTGCCCAACCTGCTATACCATCGCTCCAGCCTCCAGGGGGAATCCCCAAATACCCAGATTCTCTGGACAGAGAGCAGCGGGTAAGGCACTTCGCTTGCACATCACCCCAGTTTGATCCCCAGCACCGCATATGATCTCTCCCCCAGGCGAGATCCCTGAGCACAGAGCCAGGAGTAAGTTGGGCACTGCCAGGTGTGCCTCGAAAGCAAACAGGAAGTCCAAATTGGAGCTGGGAAATGGTTTAGAGGGTGGGACGCATGCTTCGCACATGAGGCCCACATCAGTAGCCAGCTCTACATGTTCTGAGTAAAACTGAGGAACCCCCAGCACTAATGGGGGGGGGCCCAAACACTAAAGCTGAAGTTCAAATAGGACAGAGCCTGGCGACAGCTCAGGGACAGAGCATTTGCCTTTCATAACTCACCCAGGTTCCATCCCCGGCACCCCAGATGGTCTCTGAGCCCCACCAGGAGTGATGAGTGATCCCTGAGCACAGAGCAAGGAGTAAGGCCTGAGTTCCACTTTGTGTTGCCCCAAATCTCCCCCTGCCAAAAAAAAATGGACGTTGGGATCTCACTGTTTCTCCAACAGTTTCATAGTAGGGCCTTCTGGGGATGGGGCCCCCAGACCACCCCAACTCACCAAGACCCTCAGGTCCAACACGCCACACAGAAAATGGGGAGCACGAACCCCTGCCCCCATGAGGGTCCCCGCGACCCAGCAGTCACCCAGGGGTCCCAGAGTAGACAAGCAGCTCTGGATGTGCCTGACAGCCTGCCCCTAGGGCCTCCCCAGCTTTCCCCAGAGATGCTGCCCTAGTTGGGGTCCCCTTCCGTGGCCCCCACCCCACCCATGTCTGCCCTCTCAAACCTCTGGGAAGGCGGGACCCTGGCGGGTTCCACTTACATAAGCTGCAGGTGTCTGGGCCAGGGGCACCCCCACTACACCCCTGGCCTTGAAGGAACCTCCACCGGGAGAGCTCCCTGGGGGGTCAGTTGTGCTAATTCGGGGTTTGGGTTTCTGCCAGAGCTGCGGCCAGCTGCAAAGCACAGGGAAGGCCAAGGTCAGGCCTCCGCAGGGAGCCCAGAGCACTGCTCAGAGAGGGTGGGTGAGAAGCCTGCAGCCACACAGCCCGGATGCGGGGGTCCCCCTTAATGACTCCGGGAAGGTGGGGCCAGGCAGTCAGATCCCCCAATCCTCCCCAATTCCCCGGGTTCTACAGTGGGGGCGCACCCCCAGGGGAGGGGCGAGGGCACAGAAACAACAGACACAGGGCTGGGGTCTTCTCTTTTATTATTTGGGGTTTCTCTGTATGGAAACAGGAGAGCCCCCCACCCCATGCCCCAGTGCCTCGGGGCACACTCGTCCCTGAAGAGTCCCCTTAAAAGTTACCAATATAAAAAAAGGGGGGGGGGGAACCTGCCCACCGTCCAGGCGGGGCTTGGAGGGGCAGGACGGGGGACAGGCTGAGGGCCTGAGGAGTGATTGGTTTCTGCAAGAGAAGGGACAAGGCTTGGGACCCCCCGGGAGGGTTCCCCGGGTCCGGCCGCAGACAGCGGAGCTAGTGGTTATGGTTGAAAGTCTGCGGGGACACCAGTGCGAACTTGCAGTGAGGCAAGGACATGGGGGGTGGGGGGCCGTCTGCTCCCCACCCCCGGTGCAGGCACCAACAAGCAACAGAGGCCTCCCAGGCTGGCAAGGAGCCCCCAGCCCTGCCCGGAGCGGGTGAGCCGGAGCGTGGGCGGGGGTGCCGGGGAGGGGGCGGGAGGGCGGCTGCCCCCGCCCCGGGAAGGCACTGCAGCTGCGGCGGCCCGAGCCGGGCGGGCGGCGGAGCCGGAGGACTTGGCAGATGAGGGAGGATGAGGGCGCAGCCGGGGTCGGGCCCACCTCAGGCAAACATCGTCAGCTGTAACCACTGCGGGAGGAGAGAGGGGTGAACAGGGTCCCCGGAGCCAGCCAACACCCTCCCCCCTGCAGCCAGGGCAGGAGGGCCAGGGAGCCGGGGGTGGGGGGACACTTCGCCCTCCGCCACCCCTCCCCCAGGATCTGTTCCCACCTTAAACAGGTCGAAGGTCACCACGCCGTCCAGATCTGTGTCCAGAGCTTTGAAGAAGCCTGTGAGAGCAAAGCCGGCCTCAGTGCTCAGCCTCAAGCCGGCGGCCCCGCCCCCACCTCCAGCACCCCGTTTGGTTGGATTTGGGGTCGCCCAGCTGTGCTCAGGCTTACTGGCGGCTGGGGGTGCCCTGGGGGCTCCATGGCGCCTTCCCTGCTGGATTCTCTCCCACCCTGGTACCCAGCTTTGGGCTGGCCCAGCGCAGAGCCCCCGTGACCCTCCGAACCCAGATGGCTTTTCCCCCAGCTCTACATTCACTGCCTGCGTCTACCTACCGGAGCCAGCAGGTGGGGAGAGACCCCACCGTGATGAGGAGGGGCGGGGCGGAAGTCGAAGTGGGCGTGGCCTGGAACCAGGGTAGGGTGGGGATGGGGCCCGGAGCTGGGATGGGCGGGGGCGGGGCCTGAAACTGATATGGGGGCGGGGCGTGGAGCGGGACAGGGGCGTGGCCTGGAGTTAGGATAGGGCGGGGAAATGGGCGGCTCCGGGATGGGGTGGGGATGGGGCCTAGAGCTGGGATGGGGCAGGGATGGAGGGCGGGGTTGAGATGGGGCGGGGGGCGGGGCCTGAGCTAGGATGGGGAAAACGGAGCTGGGATGGTGGGGGGGACCAAGGCGGGGTCGAGATGGTGCAGGGGCGGGGCCTGAGCCAGGATGGGGAGGGTGGGGGTGGGGCCTGAGCAGGGTTGGGGCGGGGCCTGAGCTGGGATGGGGGGCCGAATGGGAGAGGGCAGGGGCGGGGCCTGATCTGGGATGGAGGGCGGGGGCGGGGCCTGAGCCCGGATGGGGAGGGCAGAGGTGGGGCCTGAGCTGGGTTGGGGAGGGCAGAGGTGGGGCCTGAGCCGGGTTGGGGACAGTGGGGGCGGGGCCTGAGCTGGGATGAGAGGGCAGAGGTGGGGCCTGAGCCGGGATGGAGGGCAGGGGCAGGGGCGGGGCCTGAGTCAGGATGGGAGTGCAGGGCGGGGGCAGAGCCTGAGCAGAAATGGGCAGGGCAGGGTCGGGGCCTGAGCCAGGATGGGGCAGGCAGGGCAGGACCCGGGTGGGCGGCACTCACGGAACATGGTCTCCAGCCGCACCAAGCAGCACACAAAGTTGTCGAAGTCCACGGCCAGGTCAGGCTCCGAGTAGCGGGTGATGATGAGCTCGTACAGCTTCTTGTTGAGCTTGAAGCCTGTTCCAGGGCGATGGGTGAGGGCAGGGCGGTGCGGCCCAGCCCCAGGGGTGGGGGTGGGGGGTTGGGGGGAACAGGTAGTGAGCTAGTCAGGGCATGCCCCAAGATGCGAAGACCCGGACAGGGTCAGGTGGGCAAATGCCCTACCGAGGGGAACAAGGGGCCCACTCAGGGATCAGGGGCTGCACCGGGGTGCCCAATGAGCACCCC